CTTGACAAACCAAGTTAAGAATATTACTTACTTTCAGGTTAACACAGATGCAATTTACGATATGTCCCAAAAACTTAACATCGCTATGCTACATGCCTTTAAAGGTACTATGAGAACGCACCAAATTAAAAAGGAAATTTGTACCAGAAGCATTGTTAAATTGGACTTTTACGAAATTAGCACTTTCAAAGACAATAAAAAATATTTTATTGGATTTCTTGAATTTAATAAAATTGGCCATAACATCTACGATTTATCCAGTGACACGTAGAGTGATGGCGACATTCCTTTAAGTAGATATACCAGTGCTTCCAAGACAGTTAGAAGGAAGTTACAATATGACGACGTTTATTCGGATGATCAAGATGCTGGCGGGTCAGCCATAAAATGTAGCAGCTATGAGCTATGCCCCGAAAGTATCAAAACTGGTGTTACTGTTAATTAACTTGCAAACTAAAAAAGAACAATATCGTTATGCTGCTCTGGCTCAAAATGACTTAGAAAATGATGGAGAGGTAAAAGTTATGTATCTAAGAATTTGTAAGATCGGCAATGAACAAGCTTTTAGAGCAGATGAAAGAGATATTTCTTATGTCATTTACAGACATAATAAAAATATTACCATCTGCCGAAATAATTCAGCAAGTCTCCAAGCTGTTTTATAAATTTAAGAACAATATTGACGTTTTCGAATAACATTAAAGCACATAGTATGTAGTTTAAGAAAATATTAAGCTAAAATTTGAGTTTATTTGAATTAGTGTTTAGTTTTTTGCGTTAGATACTCTAATGTTTGTATTATTTTTCTAGTTCTAGTTAGTTTTTTATGTGATTTTGCTAAAAACTTGTTTTTTTATAATGCATAATAACAAAGTCATTCCTCTGTCTGATCTCTCATTCCTCTGGATACTTGTTTAACAGAAAGCCCGGAAATATCGTTAAAAACGACTAAACTGTATGATCATGCACTTTGCAGGGATGCTTTTTAGCAGAACTTCATATTTGCATAATCAAAAAGTTAAAGCTGCAGAAAAATTGTTTCTCAAAGTTGACACTTTCTGTATAATTCCCCATTAACTCGTTGACAGCCTGCGCTCCCGCCATTCACCCATGTTCCATGCTTGACAGCCCCGCTACAACACCTGCGCTGAACGACTATCTACCTAACCTTATTTGCGACGTAGGTGATTACCAACGCACCCGACCCCCCGCCGTCCACCAATCAACATATACCATCAACCCCGTTCAAATTTACCGCCGTCTGATCCACCAATCAGAGCACGCGGTGGGCGTGGCCAAAAGTGGAAGTGGTGGGGGGCGTACAGGGTGACCTCATATCTACTGGTATATTCTTCGAAACTGAACGGCCGCCTCCTTTGTTCATCAGCCACTGTTCATCGATAGGTAGATCAACGAACAGTCAAGTCACACAGCAGCCAAGTCGTAAGGAATCAAAGAAAACAGGGTACAGTCAGTGGTGGGGGGGGGCTACAAGGTGACCTCATATCTACTACAGTAGACACACCGGTATCCGCCGTAGCGCTTAACCTGTTAAAACAAACAGACCGTGTTCTTTTATCAATTAGTAAAGTACGAAAATTTTTATTTGATAAGAGACGCGGAAGTGTGGCTAAAAACGATTAAATATAATATATGGGGAAATGTACAATGAAGCTTTCAAATAATAGCCGGTTCTATAGCTAATTTACGTCATAAGGACTTGAACCAATTTTTAGCAGATTGTGTAGTTATTTTTAAAACTAAAATTAGTAAAATTTTGAAAACCCCCTCTACACTCAAAAGAAAAATACAACATTTTTTGTGGGGTTTATTAGGTAATCAGGGGTATAATGAAATTTTTGGGATTAAATATTTTAATACAAAAAATTATATTATTGATACGTCGACTCAAAATAGACGAATGGTTTAAGACATATGTAAAAGATAAACTTTTGAACAAATTATCGGAAATTGCCGAAAAAAAAGACTCGGGATTTGCGTTGAATAAAAATTATTTCTTTGGTGAATATAAATATCAATTTGGGAACGCTTCATCTTTACATTAGACTATAAAAAAACCGATTTATATCAACGATTGATGACATTAAGCCTTTATATTATAGATGGAACACCTGTGTATACTACGAAAAGAAGTATATGTGGAGGTGTGTATATTTTGTTGTACACCCTTCGAAAGAGTATCGGAGCATATGAAACAGCATGTAAAAAAACATACAAGACCGTTAGAGGAAGAATGAAACATGCATGTGTAAAGGGCTCTTTGTTATAGATGCCGGAACGCAAAATAAAAACAAAGGGTTTACAATGATGTCATGACACAGAAAGAAGCCATCCATGGGAACATGCTGACGACCTCAAGATTTTTAGATGTGTTAATACCTTAGATGATAGTTTAGCATTGCAAGCAGATCTGAACCTTGTACATCAGTGGTGTGAAGTTAATAATATGTATTTGAATGTTGATAAATGTTGCACTATGACGCTAACACGCAAGTTGGAACCGATAGAATCTGTCTTTGAGATTGGAAACAGCTCGCTCCTGAGAGTTTTTTCGTTCAAAGATTTAGGTGTTTTGTTTGACCCCAGAATGACATTTATCGAGCAGATAAATACTATTGTAGCAAAAGCGTACAAAAATCTTGGTTTTGTTATCAGAAACAGCAGACAATTTCATAATCCTAAAACTTTAATCTTACTATATTATGCTTTTGTTAGATCTATTCTCGAATATTGTTCTATTATTTGGTACCCAGCTTACGATGTACATTCCCATAATCTTGAGAGAGTTCAGCGACGTTTCGTGAAGTATTTGTGGTATAAAGAAGATAGAGTTTATCCTGAAAGGGGCTTTCGTAATGACATATTATTAAGCAGATTCAATCTGCCAAATTTAACGAAGCGCAGACATTTATTCGCTGCTACCTTTTTGTGTAAATTGCTCGATGGCAGCATTGATTGTCCTTCACTCTTAGAGAAAATTTATTTACACATACCTAATTTGCGTACTCGTCATGGTAGCAACAGTTTATTCTATTTACCTGTTCCTAGAACAAACTTATTGTTGTTTTCACCACTCTATGTTATGTGTGGCATTTGTGAAAGTGAACGTGCACTTGATATCTTTCACTACAGTAAAGACAGCTTTCGAAGGTATTTTCTAACTGTCGGCTGAGCATGCTGTACTTCCTGCCTGTTCAATGGAGTGTTCCGTTCAGGCAGTGTATTGAATCTAAATAAATAAATAAATAAATAAATAAACACTATCCAAAATAACTTTAGTAAATTTTATTTGTCACAACTGTCGAACAGGAATTCTCGGCAGTAGTGGTGGATTTGAAAAAAATGTTGAAGCATAATCTATGTCGCATATAGCATATTTGCTTTTCTCTTCTTATTTATTTATTCATGCATTCCCCAGGAAACGTCTCCATTCTATTTTTTCATCCTATTATACTTTTCTAATAACTCTATGGGTTTTATACAGTACCATGGAATATACATAGGCTATTGCTGCGTACATGCGTATGCTATCCTTCCAGTTTTGGCCAGAATATGCACCTTATACACACCTTCAGTTAAGCAGCGCAGGGTTTACATATACAGGGTAGGGGACAGGATTATGTGTGGTCTCTGCTGTACCATTTGTACATAACCTGTCAAAAAACGCGCGTGCCTAAGCATGACTGTCTGTATGTATTAGCCATAGACAAGCTAAAAAAAACTGGTTGTGTATGAAAACCGTTTACGTACTTTTCCGTCTAATTCCACACCAAGAACAGTAGCGAAACGGATGACATGTTTTTATTGCCTCTAACGATACGGTTTTTTTTCAGTGAAAATACATCCATTAGCCGAGAGCAGAGCCGTTGAGGAGTGTTGGGATGATGACTGGTACGAGTCACCCCTTTCATATATGAGTCACCCCTTCCATATATTTTGCAAGCCGCTAAGCAAAAACCTATTATTCGTACCCCTCCTCCGAAAATGTCTAAGACTGCCAAAAATCAGTTTCGATTGGCTGAACGAGAACGCCACGCTTCTTAGCCTCTGTGCCAACCCCTTCTAAAGACACTGAAGAGTGTTGGGATGATGAGTGGTACGAGTCACCCCTTCCATATATTTTGCAAGCCGCTAAGCAAAAACCTATTATTCGTACCCCTCCTCAGAAAATGTCTAAGACTGCCAAAAATCAGTTTCGATTGGCTGAACGAGAACGCCACGCTTCTTAGCCTCTGTACCAACCCCTTCTAAAGACACTGGAGAGTGTTGGGATGATGAGTGGTACGACTCACCCCTTCCATATATTTTGTAAGCCGCTAAGCAAAAACCTATTATTCGTACCTCTCCTCCGAAAATGTCTAAGACTGCCAAAAATCAGTTTCGATTGGCTGAACGAGAAAGCCACGCTTCTTTAGCCTCTGTACCAACCCCTTCTGAAAGACGCTGAAGAGTGTTTGTCTATGTCATACATAAAAGTTTATGTATCTTAAGGCGCGTACTGACTTGAGCAAATTTGCGCGCACGAACGCTGTGCGCGCAAATTTGCTCAAGTCAATACCACCCAAAAATGTTGTGTGCGTAAGCGCGTTCCCGCACGAATACTTTCCGTCCTTGTCGGTACATCAAAGGAAACGTGTGCTCACTGTGGACGGTGTTTTTGTAGGAACGGTTGTTCGCGCACAGTCTTTTATAAAATATGGAGTGGGAAAATGAAAAGGCTCTCCAATTAATAGATGAATATGAAAATTATCCGATTTTATGGAGTGCCAAACATCCAGAGCACTATTCAAGAAACAAAAAAGCAGATGCGTGGGAATGTATTGCGTATAACTTAAAAGTGGAAGAGCATGAAGCGAAACAGAAAATGAATAGTCTTCTAGGGTCATTTCGTAGAGAAAAGGCAAAAGGAACAAAAAGTATTGGGACAGACAAAGGTCAGTAAATATCCTGATTCTTTTGAAGGTATTTATAAAAATGCATTTTGAAGGTCGGCAAGATGTGTATGTATCGAAATGGTATGCATTTAAAAGAATGTATTACTTACTTGACAAAGATGAACCAAGAGAAACAATTGATACAGAGACAGAATGCGTAAGTATTTTATTATTTATATAGGATTTTTGTACAGGGTGAGTCACTACTGTGTCCTCGGTTTATAATTCGTAAGAAATAAGCCGGAGAACAAGTTCAAAGTGCATTAAAAATGGCAATCAACAATGCTATAAAACATATGGGGTTGCATTCAAAGAAGATTATGAAATAGGTAACATTTGTATTAAGACCCGCCATGATGACACACTAATGACTCATCCTTTACATAACTAGAATTTATGCATTTATGCCAACATACACGACCATTGCTAGTAAAGTATGCAGCAAACTCGTTTCGAATGTCTTGTGCTTCTTTAGGTGATTTTCGGGGCAAACTTCTAATAGGGATTAGCGATGACATGTTTTTAGTTGGTGTTTCTCTCCAATTGCCTAGTACAAATTGGCCATCTATATCAGTATCGAAGGTTCCCGTGGGATTATACAACGTCCGAGAGTGTCTATTTCTTCTTAAAAAGTTGTGAAGCAAAACAATAGTCATTACAACAAGTTCTGCGTTTTCGGGCTCTAAAAGCATAGGCTTTCGTAATATTCGAAATACGGCAGAAGAAATTCCAAAGACATTTTCTACAATTCTTCGGGCTCGGCTAAGACGATAATTGAATATTCTTTCCAGTGATCCTTTCCGATGGGTTCCTGAGAATGGCTTCATAATATGCTTATTCAACGGAAATGCTTCATCTCCGAGAAATACATACTCCATCTCCTGATTCCTTCCTGGTAGACTTCTTGCTGTAGGAATCTTCAAGTCATTGCTCTGTAATCTTTTATATAGTGTACTGTGTTTAAACATGCCTCCATCAGAAATTCGACCCTGACAGCCTGCATCAGCAAATATAAAATTGTAATTTGCGTCAACTAAACCGAATAATACAATACTATAGTGTGATTTATAGTTATAATATTCGCTGCCGCTGTTTATTGGCGTTTGTAGCGCTACATGATTTCCATCCATGGCGCCCAAGCAATTTGGAAAGTTCCACAACTCTTGATATTGTTCTGAAACTAATAACCATTCTTCAGGAGTTGGCGGCATCTGAAAAATTCATATAGCTTTAGATTTAACATTCAAATGAATAACTTTTTATAATTTTTAATTTTTTCAGGTTATTGATGACGTCCAGAATTCTGGGGAAAAAGATCTCGGACCGTTTGATAGTTCTCCCCAAAATTTAGATGCAAGTGAAGGAAACAAAAGACGTCAAATTGACTTGCAATCCGAAAATGAACAGGATGTGAATGAAATGCCTCCAAAACCGAAAAATTTCAAAGCAAAAAGTAAAAATGAAGATCCAAGATTGGAGGAAGCTTATCAAATTTTGAAAAAAGTGGCCGCACCTCAACCAGTCGTCACAGAAGATGAATTTGCAGTATATGAACAACATATAGCAAATAAACTGAGAGGTTACAGTAGAAGGACAGTGCAGTTTGTTCCTCATACTATGCCACAACAACTTACAACAGCTCTTCCAACAATGTATCATCCTAATTCTACACCACATTCTACCCCATCACGTTCTCTCTGTCTAACTCCTTACACAACTTATTCTTCCTCACAATCCCACTGCTCAACCCCTAACCCCACCTTAACGGAAATGGTAAATGTAGAGTTGGCTTATTCAGACTCACTTTGACGTGACGCATTCAACATTGTACGACATAATTACATTTTGGTTTATATATACGCATTTCAAGCTGTAGCATTCTAAGTTTAATAAATAAAATATTTAAGTATGTGTAACAAATTATCTAATTACCTTTACATAATCCTTCAGAACTTCAATAAGGGCCCGGCATGTTTCAGGAACAATGGAAGATATAAGCTGTTTTGAACTTTGAAAAGATACTGCATACTTGTATATGAATCTCCCGTCGCTAAAAAGCGTAGAGTTATGGCAAGTCGCTCCTTAACGTTAACGGCCATTCTCAGTCTCGTATTCAGTTTCCTTATTTTGGGTCCGATCATATTAATTAGTAGCTCAAAATCCTGTGAAAACATACGGACAAAATTTTGAAACTGCCCGCTGATTTCTTGGAATTTCAAATCCGCTAACAATGTTGATCCACTATGCATCTCTCTGCTTTTATACAACTGCGTAACCCACCATCGCTTATCCCGTTTGTTCTTCCGTTTACAAGAATGCATCACTATGTAGGCTGCACTTGCTATTATAATTTGTTTGTTGTTGGACATTTTGACAACACTATAAAAACGGAGCTGATCGGAAACTAAATAAGCGGCTACTCTAGACGGAACAGAAATTTTCGCACACAATTTACGCGCACGTCTTCACAGTCAAAATAATTCGCGCACATATGTGTGCGCGCACAACATTCGTGCGCGCAAATTTGCTCAAGTCAGTACGCGCCTTTATATTGTATGTTTTATGAAGGTGTTGTATTCTATTACCTGGTAACATATTTTAGCTCTTTCACAGATACTGCTTCTAATTAAAAGTAGTAATTAATTTGTTCTATACTATCTACACATCTATTATTTATATTATTCTGTAAGGAAAGTAACTGAGGCTATCAAAGAACCGAACATTTCCGACACTCATGGACAGCAGCTTTGTACCACGCATAATGAGTTCTGGCTTCAAGTCAGTTTTGGTTAATATGAAATTCAACACAAATGATTTTGAATTCCAAATTACGCCCCAGGGCCCCAAATTTTACGAATTTTTAACCTGATCTTTTACGCGTTCTACCCAACACGTGTGGTTACACTGGTCTGAGCTTGTACGTCGGAGTACGTACGTCTTTATCCGGAGGTCGGACGAAATCAAACTGGTTTGATTTTTCATGCGTGCACGGAGAAGTATATGCAGATATAAAAATATCTATTGACAATTTCCAAGTTGCAAAATGGATAATGAAAAATTGATAACTTTTGTACAAAGACGAAATGCTTTGTGGGATCAAAAATCCAAAGACTATCATAATAGGACTCTAGTAAAAAAACTTTGGGATGAAGTTGCTACGGAGATGAAGTATAGAAGTAAGTGCAAATATAATTATAATCGAAGTATTTCATTAAACTCACATTGATTTCTGAATATTACGCATACCTACAGTTAATGATATTTCTAAAAAAAAACATGTTTAAAAATTGTTTATTTATTGCTGTTATTTGTATTGCAAACATACTGGAATGACACTGAACCAGTTGGATCATTGAAATGATTTTTGAATATTTCCCGTGTATTGCAAGCTGCATCTGTAGAATGCTTGTTTCTTCTTGAAGGAGGAAGATTATTAATCTCAGTTGCAGGAGTATTTCTTTGAATATTGATCTCGCTGCTAAATCCTTCTCTATCGATGATTATGTTGTGAAGAAGGCATGTAGTTTTTACAATAATTTCAGCTTTATCTGGGTGACATTCAATTTCTTTTTTGAGAATCCTCCACTTAGCACATAAAATTCCGAAAGCACATTCAACAATTCTTCGTGCTCGTGATAATCGATAATTGTAAACTTCTCTTTGTTCATCCAGCCCTCTACCAGAATATGGCCTCATTAAATAGACTTTTAGAGGGTAAGCTTCATCACCTAACAAGACAAGTGGGGCAAGCACGTCTGTGCCCGGAATCTTTCTCTTATGTGGACCATTAAAACTTGCATTTTCCAAGTGATACATTAAAGAACTAGCTGAAAAGATTCCTCCATCGCTCTGTTTGCCGTAACTGCCAACGTCAATATACAGAAATCTTCCATTAGCGTCAGATACTGCTTGAAGCACAATGGAATAGAAATGTTTGTAATTCCAAAACATGGAGCTCGAGTTCGGTGGACAACGGATTCTTATGTGTTTACCATCAATACAACCAATACAATTTGGAAAATTCCATTTCAAGAAGAAATCATTAGCTATTGAGAGATGTCTTTCAAGTGTTGGATATGGCATGTGTTCCTGATTTATTTCCTCCCATATAGCTTGACATACTTCATAGAGTATTTTTCTTATAGTCGTGTGTGCCATTCTGAATGAAAATGCCAATGAACGAAATGGCATTCCAGTTGACAAGTATCTGAAAATATTAAAAATCTATTTAGGTGTTGCGTATAGTTACTATGAAAATTATTATTTTGATAAATGGAGCTTTACTATAGTCGTTTTTGCAGGTGCAGAAGTAAAAAGTAAATGGAGAAGCCTCAGAGATAATTTTCGCAAAGTATTGAATAAAGTGTCAAGAGGTCGTTCAGGAGACGAAGGCGGAAAAAAAACTAAATGGGCTTATTTTGATGCTATGTTATTTTTAACGGACTCCATGGCAAATAGATCTTCAAGTGGTAATATTCAAATGACAGAACAGAGTAGTGCAATACACTCACCGAGGAATACAGATTTTGATGAATGTAATAGTTCTGATGTAAACACAGAAGAAGAGCATGATGATGAAGGAAATGAACGAGATAAAGATGAAGAGAATGAAAATTTCCGCACACTTAAAGCCCAAAAAAGAGTCAATGAAGAGAAAATTATTTTAAGTCAAAAAAAAAGAAAGAAACAACTATGTATGATCGGCTGTTAGCTTTAGAAGAGAAAAAAATGGCAAAGTTATCTGCGATGAGCTCTACAAATGACAATAATCATTATAACAACGACAGCGATTATATGTTTCTGAGGAGCCTTTTACCACAAATGAAGAGCCTACCACCTCTGAGAAATATGTACATGCGACTTGAAATCCAGCAACTATTTATAACTGAACAAGAAATGCTGCTCAACAATTCAACTGCTCAAAATCTTGTCGCTACATCGCTTCCTTCACCATCTTCGTATCAGTCTTCAACTAATACTGTATCTGATAATAATACAAATCAAATGTTTTCAACCACCCTAAGTACTGAGAACGTTCAAACATATTTTCATACTTTCCAATAAATGTTATACAATTATATAAATAAAAAGTTTATTTTTAATAAATACCTGCCTTAGAGTTATAGACAACCTTTCCCTTGGCTCAATGCATTCCCGGAAGTTAGAATGTTTTTCAACTCTCTTTTCAATTTTGTTTAGAATGTAGTCAAATGTCAATGCTGACATTCTAAAATATTCAAAAAATTTTGATGGCTGCTGTTTTAATTCCTGGAACAGCCTGACATATTCACCTTCGTTCTTCCTGGTTTTATACAAATCATTGATCCAATATTTTCTTTTCTTTTCCGCGATAAGATATTTTAGCATACTACTTTCAAACAATAGCAGAGAAGTAGCATTCATTTTGTTAACACTTCAAACTACGAACTGCCCTCGTTACTCACGCATGTAATGTAACCAGTTTAGTCGTCCGGCTGAATTTCGTCCGAGCACATACGACTTAAAAAACGCACGGACTTGCATCTAATGTAACCTCACCCTAAAAATACAATCCCGGCGATTGAAAGTTATTCAGACTAGAATACTTAAGAGCACAGGACCTGATTGCTTTTGGAGCATGTCTGGAAAAGGGAAAAATCACGCAATGATGGGAAAGAAAACGGGATCCGTAAAATCGAAGGGTTCGGAAAAAGATGAGGATGAAAATGTGAAAAGCGGAGTAAAGACAAAGACAGACGAAAAAGACGCGAAAGAAGTAAAGTCTGCTGACGATGTTAGTTCCAAGAAAGACGTTAATTTACCTAGTAATGATAAAGAAGTGGAGAAAAAGGAGAAAGATGAAGCTGAGAATCTGGTCTCGAGTGATCAAAACAAGAAAGAGAAGGAAAAGAAAGACGAGGAAGACGTTCCTAAGAATTTAGAAGATGGAAAAATAGCTTTAAAGGAATCAGGGAAGCCAGGAAAGCAAGCAAATGGTTTACCCGCGACGTTGGAAAAAGTAAAGCCTCAGATAACTAAAGATGTGGGAGCTAAAGCTCAGTCCGATGATATTACGGATTCGATAAACGATGGAAAAAGACTATTGACTATCCAAGATATCGAAGATGCGCTTTCGATTATAATCCATTCTTCGAAGAATATTTCTGGTGGAAAAGCGTTGGATTTTATTTTGTTGAAGGACATGCAAGTTGAGATGCCAAAGGAGGTTGACTGCGTACCGGCTGAGCTATTCTTTAGTGGAGATAGCGTTCGAAGGTGGTGTATCATGTATAATTTGATTCGTTTTGATAATGCTACGTTGGAAATGGTTAATGATTATGTACAAAGATGAGCAATCCAACTTGCACATACCTCTTGCATCTTCTGGCCTCCAAAAATACCGAATTGCAACGTTGTATTAGCACCGAAGACAGTCTAAAAAGCAAGATTGATACTGGAAGGTAATGTCCGAGCAATAAATTATAGATAAAAGGTACCGCATTCTATAGAGGCGCGTGGCTTGGTTGTCTCCAGTGGCGGTGGGCTATTGCTGTTGATGAGGTGTAAGCTTAATTAAATTGCCAATATGGTGTGATTTTCAAATCAGATTAAATCTTTATTTGTAATATATCTTCAGGCTTGTGTAAATCAAAATATTTCTTTCAAATTTCAATATTCGGGGAGAAGCAGGTATTGAATAGACAAGCCGTAAGTGCTAGGCTACCGAACTTAGTTACGTTTGGAAACTGAACATTCTCGTATAAAATATAAATATGAAAAACGTTTAGTTTACGAAATTAGCGCTGGCTATTTATCCTTCTTGCAACTAATTTCATTAGCTCTGAAAAGCATTTCACCAGTATTTATTTTAACCGCTTTCTGTGTCTATACAAAGCTGCATTCTGGTCTACATGCTTCTTACTTTGTAGACATACTGGTAGGTTCAGCCACTTTAGACATTGGGATTGCACCCAGCCAGCGGCGGCGACGAAGTAAATAAGAAATGAATAAGTCCTTCTTGATTCAATTTACAAATTAATGCATTAATCAAAGAAACTATCCTGCTTTTAGTCATAAAATATTACCAGACATTTGAGAAACAAAATTTCAATAGGTATTAAGAGTAATCCATGTAATTTTTTCTTATGAATGTGGAAGTGGAATAACCAGCGGGTACGCTAATGCAGTCGGCGGCGCGGCACCTCAAAGACAAAAGCTGTATTTTGTGTTTATGGCTCACAAAGAAATTGACAGTAGCTAGAAAAAAAGTCATATTTTTCTATTTAACTCTTACATTTAGTGGATTTAGCCTCGATAATTAGATCTCAGTTGTTGTTTGAGTGTTCTGGAGCGCAGTAGTGTTGTAGAAGAAAGATGTCTCGACAACAAACAACCCCGCGTGAGAGACGAATGATCATCAAATGTTATGAGATGGGAATATCCAGCGCGGAGATAGCAGATCAGTTTGATATGTCGGTAAATTATACAGTCTTTTTGATCATAGTACACTTTTCTGAATGTTACTTTTTCTATTAGCTAAGACAAGTCCAAAACTGGATTAGGCGGAATAGGGAAGGTGGCAGTTTGGAAACCGACAGGTCAAATGTCCACAGACGCAACGTCTTATCAAATGAAGACGTGAGCAGGCTGATTGCGTTCAATGACGAAAAAGGTTTTGTAGTGCGCTCGCAATGCGAGATAGACTGGGGCTACAGTGTCATAGAACGACAGTGGGTAGATATCTGCACAAGGAAGGCATCCACAGAAGGATACCGGCAGTGAAGCCATTGCTCACTGAGGATCATAGAAGGAGAAGACTACAGTTCTGCCAGGAGAACCTGAATAGGGACTGGAGCACCGTAGTCTTCTCCGATGAAATAATTTTTTGTACTAATACGGATTACCGACGGATTACCGACCGCCGCTATGGCGCTACGGCAAACATAATCCCCAACAGAACCACGGGTCGGACGACAATGGGATACTGGGGGTGGATGACGGCGGATGGACCAGGGGAGTTAGTTATTATAACTGGTAAGAGATAATTAAGTTACAACTATACTTTTCTAAAGTTAGCAAGAGCTGCTAGCGGAACCACTTGATCGACTTCCTCGTAGCGCTGCGTCCTCATTATTTTACGAGTATCTATTTTACTCCTTGCACAATTGATTGTTTCCGGCATTGCACCACCCATAAGAGTTATATTAAAATACAAAACCATTTGGCATTACCGAATGCGCTGCATCAAAATTCAGAATACAAAATAGCAGCTCTTGCTTTTGAGTAATTTTTTACGACTAAGTTATGTCACTGCAGTAGGCTTTTATGTAACAGTATAAAATTGCTAACATCTAAATAATGATCACAATAGATGGTTTTGTTGATATCGGATAATTTCTTGGAAAAGCTAATTTTTATGCAAGATTACTGGTATTATACCATATCCCTCCTAGGACTTGGTAGGGGACAGAAAATGCAATAAGATTCCATAATAACCTGACCAGACGAAGCCACATATATTATGTTTTAAATTACTTGTTCTAATCTATATATTTTAAGAAATATCCAAAAAAGCCACCGTGGTGTCCGAAACGTCAGTGAAAAAGTAATTCAAACATATGTGGTTTCGTTTGCCCAGACCCAAACCAAAAAATGAGTTTTAGGTATTACAGTAAAATACAATAAATAGACTCTATATAACATATGCATTGCACGAAAATCCCCAGTTTTGGAGATCCACTTTTGTGGTTTCTTTAGCATCACCCGAAACTGTAAAAACATATATGAAAAATTCTTGAGGTTTCGTTCTCAGTTTCCCTCAAAGTAAAATTGTTGATTTCATGTTCACACACATACACATACACACACACCTACACACACACAGACACACACGCACTTGGTGTTCGACATATATTGCATTTTAGCTCCCTTTTCTTATCCCTGTGTATACCTCGGTCCCTCATAAGATGATCTTGTTATTTACAGACAGAATGAACTCGCAACAATATGTGGACATTTTAAATAATAGTTTTATCCCATCATACAGGATTCTCTATCCACAAAGTAGAATCACTTTTGTACAAGATAATTCCGCCGTTCATGCGTCACACATGGTGCGAAATTATCTTGTACAAGAGGATTACAATGTCATTGCCTGGCCAGCAAAATCTCCAGACCTTAACCCAATAGAAAACCTGCGGGGTATAATGGTCCAAAAGTGGAGCACTGGCGGACCGCTCCCCAATAGGCGGGAAAATCTAGACACCCATTGTAGGCGGCTATGGGAATCCTTCCGGGGAACGGATGTCTGCAAAAACTTGGTGGACAGCATGCGCACTAGGATGCAATCCTGTATAGACGCAGAAGGTCATCCTATCGCATATTGGTAAGATATTTCATATAGCGTATTGTGTTTATTATATATCATGCATTAAAATCGGCTCCGGCTCCGTACAATGATTGCTCGAGGTATCGCATAAGCATGGCGGAAAATACAAAAATGATTTTGTCAATCATTTGATACCCCTTCTCTCTTCTACTACCCTAAAACACATTTTGTTCATTTTTGTGTTGTGCTTTTTGTCACTGGTAGCAAACTGTAGCTAAACTGTTGTCACAAATCTTCTTTGAAAACTTACTTAGGCAGGCTTCGCCTTGAAACGATATTCCCAATTTGGGGGATAGGACGGAGATTTTTTTCAGTGCATAGTATAGAAACATTGTATGTATAAAGGAAATCTATTTTGAATAACAATATGTATTTTTTTCAGAATGCTATGTGGCCCGTATTAGATTTTTGTAAGAATGCTTTTGTTTATTTGTTACTTTTGTTTATGGATTTATAATACAGAAACTGTTTTTTTTTTGAGAATTCTAGATTGATTTATTACTTGTTTGTATTTTAAAGGATATTATTTTTATTTTAATTGCATGGAATTAACTGTTTTAGTTTATTATTTTATACTATATTAACGTATATATACTCCATAATCATTTGAATTTTTATTGAACCACTCACTACCTTATTATAACAATGAGCTGATGGATTATAATTTATTGTTTGCGCAACCTAGGCTTGAGTGCCA